GATAGTAGTAGATATGTAATATATTAGTAGATATGCTAAATGTAAAAATATTATTCAACTTTAAAGTTGTTATGCGTTAAACTAAAACTTGTATCTGATTAAAATTTATTCAATATTTGAATCTTATGGGTCAATTCACATGACCTCATCTCACTTAATTGAACGGATGCTTATTGGCTTCATTTAAATTTTATTCATATTTATCAAAAAAGTTTCCAAAATAATAAGCCTCATGAATTACAAAAATGGTGCAACAATATTTTAGTAAAGTATTCTGATAAGATTTTTAATTCAGAAGAATTTACCTCAATTAAAGAAAATGCGTTAGTCTCACTTATTAGTCGGGATAATTTACAAATGAAAGAAGTAAAAATTTGGAACCGTGTTATTGAATGAGGAATTGCTCAAAATCTTGGCCTACCGTCTGACCCTGAAAATTGTTTCCACAAAAATTTTCTAGCTTTAAAAACCACCTTACAAAATTGTTTACGGGTGATGACATTGATGACATTGTTAATAATGTGCATTTATCCTTATAACACTTATCAAGAAGAGGCTCAAAAGGTTTTCCAAAAAATTCTCCCACAATTACCTCTCATTTTTCTTTTTCCAATAATCTTGCTATGTGACGTTAAAATCAACTTTATGGCCTGGCTTTTCTTCCTGATTTAAATGAATTTATTATTAATCATATTCTATAAATTAAATTTGATTATTACTCACATCAGTTTTTTTAACAACGTTCATACGTGCTTTGGAAGCAATTAAATGATGTTTAGCCCTAAAATTGTTCTTTAAAGTTAAGTACTATATTGTTATAGTTGTTGCATTTTTTATTTTATTTTATTTTTGGTATACATACCAAGAAATTTTTATATTAGGAACAGAATCAAATAATGGTTCAAGAAAAATTGATAATACTTTAACTGTCCACATGTTTTCATTAATAGATGTGTCAAAAGGCTCAATTATTTCATAATTAAGGATTTGGAAACTATTTAAACATAATTATTAGTAAAGTAAGTATATAAAAATCACTTTATAAGTAACATATAATCCTCTAATAGCATATTTAATATATGGCATTAATCCTGTTATTTTTTTAAAAGCACTTTCACTCTTGTCAGAGACATCATTAATGCTAGTATTGATAGTGGTAATATAACAAAATTAAAGTAGCATGCTATACTTGATGACTTTTTAGGGACTGACAAGCAAGCAACTAAGTTAAAAAAAAAGGTAGACTCATCGACTTTTCAGGGACTGATGAGCTAAATGATAAAAATAACAAAATTAAGTAGAATGCTATGTTTGACAAAGCAGGTAATCAAATTAAAAGCTCGTCGACTTTTCAGAGACTAACGAGCTAGCAATAAAAATAATTGAAAATAAAAAAAAGATTCAAAATTTAAATAATTTAAGGAAGATTATATTTGTAACACCATGTTATAAAATATTTTATCATTAATCTCAAAATGTACTAAGTAAACTGGATCGAGGTACTCTAAGTAAAAATATTCGGAACCCCAAAAACTGTATCAGAAACTATCAGAACCTTATATCTAATATATATTGTATAATAAAAAAACCTTATTTATCTTAAAGCTGAACTCTAACCCCAATTAAAACTATTAGAGATATTATATAATATAGGTGCGAATATAATATTTCATAATATAATTAACAAAAAAGTTTTTTAGCTTTCATAAAGCAGTCAAAATTTAAAATTACCATGTAAGCTTTATAAACCTTTTTTTGTAGTTGCTCATCAAAAATTAGGTTTATATATCTTTCGTAAGTTTCATATTTATCTTTCCAAGAAGTATCTTGTTAGGCTTGTTTGTATTTTTTTCTTTTTAGAAATTTTATTAGCTTCCACTCAGTATAAGGTTTTGTGAAATATAAAATATGATCCATTTTATTTAAATTTGATCCTGGTATTGTCTTAGAAGGAGTACTTAAATTGGACGAAGAGTGTGAGTTGTAAGAATCTAATGATGATGGGCTAGTTAATGAAGATTTTTGCTTAAATAGAGTGGAAAATGGATTCTCTCTCCTATTCGTGAATTTATTCGTGTTGATTTTTTTTGATAACATTCTTTGATTATTTAAAGATGCGAATGTGTTGTTATCATCCTCTTTTATAATAATCATGACATCGGTTATATGATGATCTTTTACATAAAAAACATTATCACGTGTTTTCGTAATATATCATTATCATTAATTTTTTTAGGTAAAAAAGGTCTCCATAGTGATAGTGATAGGCTTCTATTGTCTATTTAGAGATAGCGATAGCGTTAGAGGTGGTATATTTAGCGTTATATCACGAATTACTGTTATAAGAATATCCATATAGTCTCCGATGAATCTTTGATCAAAGGTTAGAGCTAAGAAAAATAAATAGCTATTATTAAAAATCAAAAAATTTAAAAATTTTTAAACTTATTTAATGTTAATAGCTTATACTTAGCCATCCTACGATAGTTTTTTTATAGCAGTTATTTAAATATTTTATTGTTGGGCAATGCAATTGCATTAAAGAAAACTACAGATAAATAGAAGGTAATGATTTAAAGGCTCTGATTAATAAAAAATTTGGCAATATTAATTCACGCTCTATTTTGAGAAAATGGATAACAAATATTACATCAGATAAAATGATCGAAGTCAAGCTAATTGCAAATTATTTTCTTGGTGCAAGTGAAAGCAAATATAACTTTCTAATTAAAGAATTACAGAATTTCCTGAATTCCAAAACATTAAAGAGAAAAATATATTAGAATTAGTAAATATTGCAAGAATGCATACACAATTTAATGATAATTGTTTGTAGCAATTGCTTAATTTTTGGTTTTACTTTTTGTTTTTTACTCTATTCCTTGGAACAGACCAATAATAAATGAATTATTATTAAAAAACATGTAGTAATTACCAATTAGCAAATTTTAACATAAAAAATAATATCATATTTGTTTAATTTTGCAAAAATTTAAATCAGCCAATATTACTAATAAAGGTAAAAATATATTCGTTTGGTAAAGTATTTATTTTAGGTAGGGATTAAGAAGTTTGAAATACAGTAAATATTGTATTTTTAACTCTAATAATTTGAAAATTAGATAAGTAAATTTTGAGATTAACGAAAGAGCCTACATATATAGAAATATTTATAGTTATCAAATAATACTGTATTATATATCTATACTAGTATTTTCCTTTTGTAACAATTAAAATATTGAAGTAAAATATTGTGGGGCTGAAGTGAATTAACTGAATGAAGGATACTGATTAAATTCTTGAATAATGATGTTTTAATAAAAAATAAAGTAAATTATAATTTGCCCAATAGTCAATTCATACAATTTACTGTACATAGCCAATTCACATTAATTAACGTTAGTTAATTCACATTGTAAGAATCTGTTTTAATTTTTTTACTCAATTTTTGAACTCCTACGGCCTCCCAAGGCCGTAGGAGTTCAATTTAGTTTTTATCCTGATAAAGTCTCATGTTCAATTAAGAGTTAAAAGCTTACCAAATTACATATCAATATCGATATTATACTAACGTTATAATAAATTATATCAATATTATAAAACTAGCACTAGAATAATGAGACTATTTTATTATGTGATATTCTTCGAAAACTGAAAATTGTTCTGAAAATTGAATTTTTTTTTGGTAATACTGTATTGGAATAAAATGTAATAATTGTGATAAAAATTATATTTTCATACAAATATATAGTGATAGATTATTCTTATTTTAATAAAATAATTAATGTTAAACTTTGTGATTACATGCCTTATATCCTCAAATTCAATTACAATAAAGCAAAGTATTCAGAAAAATATAAATGTAGCTATCAGCAAAATTCTAACTTATTACAGATTTTTTTTAAAAAATCAAGTATCTTATTTGCGAACTTTTTTAGCAATATTTACTAAGTCCAATATTTTTTTGCCTTTAATATTTGAAAAATTTGGGAATTTTTTCCCTAATAAGTTTTTGATGAGAAAGTTGTATTCATTTTCTGTAGCATGAAGAAAAAAATTTGCATCCAACTTTACATCGACCATTTCTTTGGGTGTATCATTTGTTACTCAAAGAAAATGGCATAGTCTCCAACATCCAGTCTATTTTTTTAGCATTGAACGTGAACTAATATCCCAGAGTTTGTTTATTTGTGATTTAATATTCCTTTCCTTCCAATAACCTGTATTTTTCTCTAACGTTTTTCATTATCTTGTTCTTGATGACAAATTTTTAACATGTTGAAAAAAACCTCAGATAATGAATAAATAAGTTTTAGCATTTTGTAATCCTGGTTTCTAATTTTTCTTATACAATGATTATAATAAGAATCTCAAATTCAAAGATAAAAGGTGCAACTATTAACATCTTCTATTAGCATTGGCAATAGTTCTGGTTCTAATGATGATATTGAGGCTTCATTGAAATATCTGTTGACAGGTTGAGAATACATTTCAAATATTTTTGTTGGGTCTTGAGATACAAATGTTTCAGATATTCTCTTTTCTTTCCTTTTTTTCTTTAATGAATTAATATAACCTGATTGCATTATAGAAAAAATTTTAATATAAAAAAAATATATATATATTCAGTATGTATGTATTCACATACTTAATTCTTTTCTTTCATTCTTTTTGTGAATATTAGATTCTTTTGCTTCAAAAATAGCACATTTTACTTTTTTTTTAGGAGATTCATTCTTTTTGTGATTATTAAAAAAGTTAATCTTAAGTATTATAAGTTTTTTATATGACTTTATATCAAAATTGAATAGTTGCTAAATAATTAATT